ACAGAGCCAGCACCCCCAGAGTCCGCACCCCCATTGTCACCACCTCGAGCAGCACCAGAGTCCACAGCAATGGGCCGCAGAGGTGGTGAAGACGGTCGAGGCAGAAAACCAGGAGGAACCGCCAAGCGCGCGGAGTGGCGAGGGGTCACGGTGTCAGCAACAGTCTGGTCCCGCCCTTCAGCTGGGCCAGAGTTGTCTGAGGAGACCTCCAAAGGCTCAACCAAGGGGGGTGGGTCTACCTGAGATACACCTGAGGGAGTGGGAGCGGGAGGAGGGAGAGGGGCTACCGGGGGGGGGGGGGGGGGATCGACCACCAGGGAGAGAGGCGGGAGCGGTACTTGAGAACTGCGGTGGGGGTGAAGACGGTAGAAGTAGACGGACTTGTCAAAGGTGACCTTGCGGGACGACAGCACACAAAGCGCGGGTGGTAAATATGCCAGGGCGGTGCATCGGTGGGAACGCCACGGAAAACGCACTGAAGAGTGCGCAGAGAGAGCTTGCCCATGGGCAGATCATGGACAAGAGAGAGGGAACCCCAGACTCGAAACGCCGACACAATACCAACCTCGCCCGTCCACCGTAAAGTAGGGTAGGTCTCCGGGTGGAAGACACAGGGTAAGAGGTTGAGCTGCGCAGCGGCGTATCGGACCGCAAGAAAGTAGGGAGGTCTCCGCATGGGAGACACGGGGCCAAAGAAAATGGGGAGCGGCCGCATGGATCATGGAGGTGCGAGCAACCTCCATGACGAGACCAATGCGGTGCTCTGCAATCCCATTCTGCTGGGGAGAGGCCGGAAGCGTGTACGTCTGGACGATGCCCTCAGCACCACAGAAGTCCCTGAGGAGGCGGGAGCAAAGCTCACCACCTCGGCCAGAGTGCAGTCGCAGGACTGGGAGGTCCTTACGGAACCGAGTGCTAAGCTGGAGACGGACAGCGCCGATCCAGCGGATCAAAACATCGCTGTAAGGATCTAGGATCGAGCTCAGAAAAGAGAGTTTGAATTGAATTGAATGATCACCTGGGTACACCACGAGGCTATATATAGGCTCGACAAAAGGCCCCGTAACCAGGTGTTACGCGAAGGTTCCGCGGGTCGCGAAGCGTCCCGAACAAATCCTTCCCGAATTCGGTAGAAGGCAATTCGGTGGCAACCGAAAAGCCAGAATTCGGTGCACGCAACCTAGCTCGGTGCTATAATTATAATAAAATATAGGAAAGCACCTAGCCTAGGAAATCAAGCAATTCATGGATGCATATAATTATCCTATGCTAGAAATAGCATAATAAAGTAAAGGCAAGCAAGAATAGCTGGCATAAGCCGTCGTACTCTCACAATCGCGGACATCCGCCTTGCTCTGCAAGGGGAAGACCGTGGTGTAGCGCGTGTAGTCGTCGACAACCAAGAAAAAAGTAGCGCTCGCCACCCTGTCTAGTGACGCGGGCGGGGCCCCACGTGTCCATGTGCAGGGTCTGCAGAGGAGCAGTGGTAGGAGGAAACGAGGAGGAGTGGCGCACTGCCGCCCCTCGACGCAGGAAGGCAGGGCGGTGCAAGCGACCTCGGAAGCGGGGGCAGGGATCTAGGGAGACCAGACACAAGGAGACGGGAGAGCATGCCACGCAGGTGGGGCAAGGAGGGGTGGTCAAGACGGTGGTGCCAAAGGAGAGTCTGGTGCGCGAGGAGACAAGACGAGCAAGACGCAACGACCTCAACCAACGCAACTACTTGACCTGCTCAGCTATCAGTGCAAACTCAGTGGTCAGTGTTTACAAGCCAGACCCAGGCCTCCAAGTGAACGTGGCGAGGTGCTCACCAGTACGCGAGCCCATACAGATCGCCACTAGCTCGCCTCCAGGCTGGGTGACATTGACCCAATGGTCCTGGAGGACAGAGGTATCCACCAAGTTCTTAGAGAACAAGGGGAGGTGGAGACCTTTGAGGAGGCCGGACGGGGTCGCCGGACAAGGGAGAACAGTGGTGCCACGCACGACTACCGGGCCCCTGGAAGGGTCGGCCAGTGTGACAGGGACATGGGCTGTGAGCGGTGTGACTGTAGTGCTGTCGCAGAAGAAGCAGCGAGACGCACCTGAGTGTAGGGTAAAAGTGTGCAAGGCCACCTCAGGCTCTGCCCCTGCGCTAGCGGAGTCACACGCACCAAGACTAGTAGCCTCTACTCCACCAGGTGCCTCTACACCCCCAGTACGAGTACCCCGAAACCCTCCGCCACCGGGGCTGCCCCACCGGACAGCCCACTCACGAAGCTGCTGTGGGGAGAGAGTCTTTAGCGAACGCTGCTGCTGCTGCTGCTGCTACTGTCCACCCCAAGAACCTCCGCGTCTACTAGCGGCACTACCAGCAGGAGTAGACTCACAGGTACCTCCAGTAGTATCACCCCACCAGACAGCCCACTCACGATGCTGCTGTGGCGAAAGCGGCTTCCGTCGACAAGCACGGCTAGCTCCGCCATCGGGGCTGCCCCACCAGATAGCCCACTCGCGAAGCTGCTGCGGCGAGAGACTCCTGCACACTTGGCTACCGCTGACGTAGGACAGTGGTAGTGGCCATGGCAGGCAGTGGCAGCTAGTAGTAGCAACTGCGCAGCAGTAGTAGCACAGGTGGCAGTAGTAGTGTAGTAGCACTCGGGGCAATGCGGCGCTAGCACAAGACAGGGCATCACGGGGCAGCGCACGCAGGTGGCAGCAGCACCTAGGGCGGCAGCAGCAGGTGGCAACACCTAGGGGGACATCACCTAGGGCAGCAGCAGGCGGCAGCACCTAGGGCGGCAACAGCAGCACCTAGGGCAGCAGCAACAGGCGGTAGCACTTGGGGCAGGAGCACCTAGGGCGGCAGCAGCAGGCGGCACTTGTGCGCGGGCAGAACAGGCGCGGGCAACGCGAGCAGGGCAGGGCATGTGAGCGTGCAAGGCAGCAGCGTGGGGCAGGGCGCATGCGCGCGGGCAAGGTGCTTACGGGGCAGGGCACGGGTCGTTGGGCAGAAGGGCGCACTGGACGTTGGGCAGCTGGGCGCGCCGTCACGCTGGGCAGCAGGGCGCACTGGCGCGCTGGGCAGCAGGGCACGCTGGCGCGCTGGGCAGCAAGGCGCGCTAGTGCGCTGGGAAGCGGGGCGTGGTGGGGCGTTGGGCAGCGGGGCGCGCTAGCACGTTGGGCAGCGGGTTACGCTGGCGCATTGGGCAGCAGGGCGTGCTAGCGCGCTGGGTAGCAAGGCGCACTAAGCGCTGGGCAGCAGGGCGCGCTGGCGCGCTGGGCAGCAGGGCGCGCTGGCGCGCTGGGCAGCAGGGCGCGCTGGCGCGCTGGGCAGCATGGACTGCTGGCGCGCTGGGAAGCAGGGCGCGCTGGCGCGTTGGGCAGCGGGGTGCGCTGAGCAGCAGGGCGCGCTGGCGCGTTGGGCAACGGGGTGCGGTGGGCAGCGGGGCACGCTGGCGCGCTGGGGAGCGGGGCGCGCTAGGCAGCGGGGTGCGCTGGCATGCTGGGCAGCAGGGCGGGCTGGCGCGCGGGTAGCGCACGGGCAGCGTGCGGGCAAGGCAGAGCAGCAGCGCGACGACGTGCTGGGCAGGGCAGAAACGACGGGCCGAGCAAGAAAAAAAAGGTGACTGCCGGGCAGAGCGGAACGAAAACAGTGGGCACTACAAATTCGGTCCTAACCGGGAACTGCTCTGAAACCATGTGAAGAAGGAATGTGTGCATTGAGTATGAATGTAGGTACAAGTATGAAACCCTAAAGGGTTGTACTCACTAGAGTATGCCCCACTACAGCCTAGAGCATGCAAACATCATTTGACTGCTGCAAAGGATCTGCTCTAAGGTTTGGTTCACGCGCTTAGTCTGTTCGTCTGTCTCTGGATGGTACGCGGACGACATGGCTAAGCGAGTCCCAAACAGTGCGAAAAGCTGCTTCTAGAACTTCGAAATGAAATGAGGGTCGCGGTTGAAAATGATGGAATCGGGAACCCCGTGAAGTCGGACTACGTCATCTACGAACGGCGTCGCTGCTTCCTCTGCTGTGACCTTGCTGTGCGTGGGGATGAAGTGTGCTGCTCGAAATAACTTATCCACTACCACGAAGATGGCGTCGTAACCCCTAACAGTGCGCGGTAAAGCCATGATAAATTCCATGATAACTACCTGCCAAGGGCGGTCAAGTGGTGGAATCGGCTGCAAAACTCCTGCTTTGCGCTGGCGAAAGGACTTCATACGCTGATACTTGTCGCACGAGCTAATGTAATCCTCTACGCCTGTTGCAAGCCCTAACCAAAAGTATGTGCGACTAAGCGACTTAGCCATTTTATCTGCTTCGAAATGACCTGCACTAACGGCGTTGTATGCCTCGGAAAGAAGACGTTGTCGAAGAGGGCGGTAGGTGGGAACCCAAATTCGTGCTGTCCCTTTCTGAATGTAGACACTACCCTGCACCTCTGCTCCTGCAGACGGCTGCGGTGTGAAATCGGGATCTAGTGTGTATCCGTGCTCGAAGAGTGCTGTGAGAAGTGGATGGCCGGCAGTGACTGTGAGGCTAGCGAGCTGGCAACTAGGGCGAGTGAGCGGATCTGTTGGGTTGCAAACGCCTGGCTTGTACTCTATCCTGTAGTGAAAGCTCCCCTCCATGAACTCCATCCATCTAGCCTGGCGACGACTCAGCTGCGGCTGTGACTTGAGGAAACAAAGCGAGCCATGGTTTGTGCGTATAACATTATCCGCCCCCTCTAAGTAGCACCTCCACAGCTTAGGGTAAAATTCCATTCAATAGTAAAGTACCCCTATCAGGGACCGTATCTGTGGGGAGGGGAGGGGGGGGGGCTCGCTGGCTGACTGACCAGGGAGAACGCCAGATGTGTCGTTTCTCACGAGCATCCCTTTTTAGCCTTATTTTCAGATTGGAAACGATGGAACAACAAGAAGCCTAGTTTGCAAATTGCTACAAGCCATATTACACGTTACAAGCAGAGGCATACTCAACAAAATAACCTGCAGTGCGACCTATTCAATCATAATTCCCCACCGTCTGCCTTCCCCATCACTGGCAGCACCCCATGCCTCGCCATAGCCACTCGAATCTGCTCTTGAAACATCTCCCTCCCTCGCGCTCTCAACTCTGTCCTGTACGCTGTGCTGCGAAACGCCTTCTTGATATCCACCCCCGGGCATGGGTGGTACCAAAGGCGCACAGAATACCCGCACTGCAGCGCCGTGCGCACAGACACTCTCCTCTCGTGGTAATCCCTGCCAATGACAGCCTGGCAGCCACACTCCCCTGTGTCGGCAAAGAACTCGCGGCACGGGGCCCAGGTAGGGGGCCGCTGCACCAGGTGCAGGGCTTTAAGGAGCTCAGGCCAGATCCAGAAGCACCCTGAGCCGCACACTCGGATGAGCGTATCTAGCTTGTTTGCATCGCCGTACGCCACCCCTGCGTGTAGGTTGGGTTGGATGGTGGTGGGGTGGTGGGAGGGTGTACGGGGCGGTGGAGAATGGTGGATGTCAGTACCATGGGGATGATCATCAAGTAGAGGAGGCAGGCAGAGGAGTGAGAGAGCTGTGAAAGAGAGGACGCATGGTGAGACGGGGAGAGGGCTGTCGTTACTGCCAGATGCAAGGCCAGCCCATGGGTAGTGGTAACAGAAGTGGGTGCAAGCAGCGTGTTGTAATATTTAGGCACCTCAAGAGCAGACAGCAGTGAGTGCGAGTACCTGCACTGCGACTCGAAAGCAGCGCCTCCTCTACTGATAAACAACAGCGGCATTGCTGAATGCGTCATGCAATGAGTCATGAATCTTTGCCACTAACAAGCAACAGCGGCGTCCTTGAAGATAGCCATGGATAAGGGGCTTCTCTCACGCCGACTCCCTCTCTTTCCCCCACTCACTCACCCGTCACCCAGGGTGATAAGCAAGCCTGCCCACCTTCCTTGAAGCGGTGAGGGGAGTCGTTGCGGAAGGCGACTTGGCTCTCCCACTGCCCCGGGGCGTGCGGGCGGATGTGGCGGAAGAGCGACGAGGCGTTCAGCCATGCTGGCTGCTGCACGCTCTGCACCTTCACCATCGCCACCTGTTTACCCGGAAACGTGTGTGGTGAGGTGGGGCGATTTGGGGAAATGAGAGAAGACTTGGGGAGATGTGGGGAGATATGTGATGTTACACAACATGGTTCACATCGCAGTCAGCGGCACGAGGGACACAGAAAGGACAGATAGGAAAGCGGTCCAGTGCAGTGCCAACCAACACCAAAAAGGTTGTATAGACACCTGTACCTCCTCGCACACCCCTCTGCGCCCACACACCTTCAACACGGTGAGACCTTGTGCCTCGTAGCGGAGCGGTCAGCACCAGCCACGATGCAGTGCCACGCCTCTCACGTCACAAACTGCTGTCCCACGGCAGGATCCACCTCGCTCTTACTACCCTTCCCCTCTGAATCTCTGCACACCCCCATGATCCCGCCCACGCGCACCTTGAACACGGTGAGACCTTGTGCCTCGTAGCGGTCAGCAGCTGCGACGATGCGGTGCCACGCCTCGCGGGTGAGGAACTGGTTGCCGTCCCACGGCAGGATCCACCGCGCCCCCGATGCCTGCCCGTGCTCCAGCATCGCGTTGCGCGCCTCGTTCTGTGCTGCACGGAGGGTGGAGTGGACGGGTTGTGGGACAGGTTGGCGGAGGGGTGAGTGTGATGGGAAAAAAGAGGGAAGGGAACATGGGACTCGTCCTCCCTGCCCTCCCGTGCGCATCGCATTGCGCGCCTGTTGAGGAGCGTGGTGGGAGGGGGGAGGGGAGGGGTGCAGGAAGAAGGGACGAAGGACGGGGTAGGGAATAGGGCGGGGCAGAGCAGCAGTGAGTGTCTGTGGTGGGCAGAGAAGTGTCAGGTGTGCCTCAGGTGTGCTTTAGAGAAGTTTCAGGTGTGCTTCACGAAAGTGTAAGGTGTGCTTCAGGGAAGTGTCAGGTGTGGAAGCTGAGATGGTACCATAACTTCCATCTTTCCATCCAAGACACTCGGAAAAAAACGCCTGCGATGCACAACATCGATGCCAATGGCACCACCTGATGCTAACTGAGAGACGAGCAGCACTCACCGAGTCGAGAGAACGAGGCGAAGCAAGCTGCGGCTGTGCCCATGCGCTCTGCTCACCTGACACGGCTGCACCCCATTGGTCCTCGGGAAGCTGGGCCACGTGGCTGTAGTTGATTCGCCGCACTATGATGTCCTGATGGGCGGCGCACAGTGCGTGTGGTGCATGGGACAGGGGATTGATTGGCAAGCAGAGAAGGTGAGAGTATGGAGGGGCGAGGAGAAGGGTCAAACAGTGGCGAGAGGAAGAAAGAGGGCAGGAAGAAAGAGGTGTAGTGGGTGCAGTGGGTGCAGTGGGTGCAGTGGGTGCAGTGGGTGCAGTGGGTGCAGTGGGTGCAGTGGGTGCAGTGGGTGCAGTGGGTGCAGTGGGTGCAGTGGGTGCAGTGGGTGCAGTGGGTGCAGTGGGTGCAGTGGGTGTAGTGGGTGCAGTGGGTGCAGTGGGTGCAGTGGGTGTAGTGGGTGTAGTGGGTGTAGTGGGTGCAGTGGGTGCAGTGGGTGCAGTGGGTGCAGTGGGTGTAGTGGGTGCAGTGGGTGTAGTGGGTGCAGTGGGTGCAGTGGGTGTAGTGGGTGTAGTGGGTGCAGTGGGTGTAGTGGGTGCAGTGGGTGCAGTGGGTGTAGTGGGTGCAGTGGGTGCAGTGGGTGCAGTGGGTGCAGTGGGTGCAGTGGGTGCAGTGGGTGCAGTGGGTGCAGTGGGTGCAGTGGGTGCAGTGGGTGCAGTGGGTGCAGAGGGTGCAGTGGGTGCAGTGGGTGCAGTGGGTGTAGTGGGTGCAGTGGGTGTAGTGGGTGCAGTGGGTGCAGTGGGTGCAGTGGGTGTAGTGGGTGCAGTGGGTGTAGTGGGTGCAGTGGGTGTAGTGGGTGCAGTGGGTGTAGTGGGTGCAGTGGGTGCAGTGGGTGTAGTGGGTGCAGTGGGTGCAGTGGGTGCAGTGGGTGCAGTGGGTGCAGTGGGTGTAGTGGGTGTAGTGGGTGTAGTGGGTGCAGTGGGTGCAGTGGGTGCAGTGGGTGCAGTGGGTGCAGTGGGTGTAGTGGGTGTAGTGGGTGCAGTGGGTGCAGTGGGTGCAGTGGGTGCAGTGGGTGCAGTGGGTGCAGTGGGTGCAGTGGGTGCAGTGGGTGCAGTGGGTGCAGTGGGTGCAGTGGGTGCAGTGGGTGCAGAGGGTGCAGTGGGTGCAGTGGGTGCAGTGGGTGTAGTGGGTGCAGTGGGTGTAGTGGGTGCAGTGGGTGCAGTGGGTGCAGTGGGTGTAGTGGGTGCAGTGGGTGCAGTGGGTGTAGTGGGTGTAGTGGGTGTAGTGGGTGCAGTGGGTGTAGTGGGTGTAGTGGGTGCAGTGGGTGCAGTGGGTGTAGTGGGTGTAGTGGGTGCAGTGGGTGCAGTGGGTGCAGTGGGTGCAGTGGGTGCAGTGGGTGCAGTGGGTGTAGTGGGTGCAGTGGGTGCAGTGGGTGCAGTGGGTGCAGTGGGTGCAGTGGGTGTAGTGGGTGTAGTGGGTGCAGTGGGTGTAGTGGGTGCAGTGGGTGCAGTGGGTGTAGTGGGTGCAGTGGGTGCAGTGGGTGCAGTGGGTGCAGTGGGTGCAGTGGGTGCAGTGGGTGCAGTGGGTGCAGTGGGTGCAGTGGGTGCAGTGGGTGCAGTGGGTGCAGAGGGTGCAGTGGGTGCAGTGGGTGCAGTGGGTGTAGTGGGTGCAGTGGGTGCAGTGGGTGCAGTGGGTGTAGTGGGTGCAGTGGGTGTAGTGGGTGCAGTGGGTGTAGTGGGTGCAGTGGGTGTAGTGGGTGCAGTGGGTGCAGTGGGTGTAGTGGGTGCAGTGGGTGCAGTGGGTGCAGTGGGTGCAGTGGGTGCAGTGGGTGCAGTGGGTGTAGTGGGTGTAGTGGGTGCAGTGGGTGTAGTGGGTGTAGTGGGTGCAGTGGGTGCAGTGGGTGCAGTGGGTGTAGTGGGTGTAGTGGGTGCAGTGGGTGCAGTGGGCGCAGTGGGTGTAGTGGGTGTAGTGGGTGCAGTGGGTGCAGTGGGTGCAGTGGGTGCAGTGGGTGCAGTGGGTGTAGTGGGTGTAGTGGGTGCAGTGGGTGCAGTGGGTGCAGTGGGTGTAGTGGGTGCAGTGGGTGCAGTGGGTGCAGTGGGTGCAGTGGGTGCAGTGGGTGCAGTGGGTGCAGTGGGTGCAGTGGGTGTAGTGGGTGTAGTGGGTGTAGTGGGTGCAGTGGGTGCAGTGGGTGCAGTGGGTGCAGTGGGTGCAGTGGGTGTAGTGGGTGTAGTGGGTGCAGTGGGTGCAGTGGGTGCAGTGGGTGCAGTGGGTGCAGTGGGTGCAGTGGGTGCAGTGGGTGCAGTGGGTGCAGTGGGTGCAGTGGGTGCAGTGGGTGCAGTGGGTGCAGAGGGTGCAGTGGGTGCAGTGGGTGCAGTGGGTGTAGTGGGTGCAGTGGGTGTAGTGGGTGCAGTGGGTGCAGTGGGTGCAGTGGGTGTAGTGGGTGCAGTGGGTGCAGTGGGTGTAGTGGGTGTAGTGGGTGTAGTGGGTGCAGTGGGTGTAGTGGGTGTAGTGGGTGCAGTGGGTGCAGTGGGTGTAGTGGGTGTAGTGGGTGCAGTGGGTGCAGTGGGTGCAGTGGGTGCAGTGGGTGCAGTGGGTGCAGTGGGTGTAGTGGGTGCAGTGGGTGCAGTGGGTGTAGTGGGTGTAGTGGGTGCAGTGGGTGTAGTGGGTGCAGTGGGTGCAGTGGGTGTAGTGGGTGCAGTGGGTGCAGTGGGTGCAGTGGGTGCAGTGGGTGCAGTGGGTGCAGTGGGTGCAGTGGGTGCAGTGGGTGCAGTGGGTGCAGTGGGTGCAGTGGGTGCAGAGGGTGCAGTGGGTGCAGTGGGTGCAGTGGGTGTAGTGGGTGCAGTGGGTGTAGTGGGTGCAGTGGGTGCAGTGGGTGCAGTGGGTGTAGTGGGTGCAGTGGGTGTAGTGGGTGCAGTGGGTGTAGTGGGTGCAGTGGGTGTAGTGGGTGCAGTGGGTGCAGTGGGTGTAGTGGGTGCAGTGGGTGCAGTGGGTGCAGTGGGTGCAGTGGGTGCAGTGGGTGCAGTGGGTGTAGTGGGTGTAGTGGGTGCAGTGGGTGTAGTGGGTGTAGTGGGTGCAGTGGGTGCAGTGGGTGCAGTGGGTGTAGTGGGTGTAGTGGGTGCAGTGGGTGCAGTGGGCGCAGTGGGTGTAGTGGGTGTAGTGGGTGCAGTGGGTGCAGTGGGTGCAGTGGGTGCAGTGGGTGCAGTGGGTGTAGTGGGTGCAGTGGGTGTAGTGGGTGCAGTGGGTGCAGTGGGTGCAGTGGGTGTAGTGGGTGCAGTGGGTGTAGTGGGTGCAGTGGGTGTAGTGGGTGCAGTGGGTGTAGTGGGTGCAGTGGGTGCAGTGGGTGTAGTGGGTGCAGTGGGTGCAGTGGGTGCAGTGGGTGCAGTGGGTGCAGTGGGTGCAGTGGGTGTAGTGGGTGTAGTGGGTGCAGTGGGTGTAGTGGGTGTAGTGGGTGCAGTGGGTGCAGTGGGTGCAGTGGGTGTAGTGGGTGTAGTGGGTGCAGTGGGTGCAGTGGGCGCAGTGGGTGTAGTGGGTGTAGTGGGTGCAGTGGGTGCAGTGGGTGCAGTGGGTGCAGTGGGTGCAGTGGGTGTAGTGGGTGTAGTGGGTGCAGTGGGTGCAGTGGGTGCAGTGGGTGCAGTGGGTGTAGTGGGTGCAGTGGGTGCAGTGGGTGCAGTGGGTGCAGTGGGTGCAGTGGGTGCAGTGGGTGTAGTGGGTGTAGTGGGTGCAGTGGGTGTAGTGGGTGTAGTGGGTGCAGTGGGTGCAGTGGGTGCAGTGGGTGTAGTGGGTGTAGTGGGTGCAGTGGGTGCAGTGGGCGCAGTGGGTGTAGTGGGTGTAGTGGGTGCAGTGGGTGCAGTGGGTGCAGTGGGTGCAGTGGGTGCAGTGGGTGTAGTGGGTGTAGTGGGTGCAGTGGGTGCAGTGGGTGCAGTGGGTGCAGTGGGTGCAGTGGGTGTAGTGGGTGTAGTGGGTGCAGTGGGTGCAGTGGGTGCAGTGGGTGTAGTGGGTGCAGTGGGTGCAGTGGGTGCAGTGGGTGCAGTGGGTGCAGTGGGTGCAGTGGGTGCAGTGGGTGCAGTGGGTGTAGTGGGTGTAGTGGGTGTAGTGGGTGCAGTGGGTGCAGTGGGTGCAGTGGGTGCAGTGGGTGCAGTGGGTGTAGTGGGTGTAGTGGGTGCAGTGGGTGCAGTGGGTGCAGTGGGTGCAGTGGGTGCAGTGGGTGCAGTGGGTGCAGTGGGTGCAGTGGGTGCAGTGGGTGCAGTGGGTGCAGTGGGTGCAGTGGGTGCAGAGGGTGCAGTGGGTGCAGTGGGTGCAGTGGGTGTAGTGGGTGCAGTGGGTGTAGTGGGTGCAGTGGGTGCAGTGGGTGCAGTGGGTGTAGTGGGTGCAGTGGGTGCAGTGGTGTAGTGGTGTAGTGGGTGTAGTGGGTGTAGTGGGTGCAGTGGGTGTAGTGGGTGTAGTGGGTGCAGTGGGTGCAGTGGGTGTAGTGGGTGTAGTGGGTGCAGTGGGTGCAGTGGGTGCAGTGGGTGCAGTGGGTGCAGTGGGTGCAGTGGGTGTAGTGGGTGCAGTGGGTGCAGTGGGTGTAGTGGGTGTAGTGGGTGCAGTGGGTGTAGTGGGTGCAGTGGGTGCAGTGGGTGTAGTGGGTGCAGTGGGTGCAGTGGGTGCAGTGGGTGCAGTGGGTGCAGTGGGTGCAGTGGGTGCAGTGGGTGCAGTGGGTGCAGTGGGTGCAGTGGGTGCAGTGGGTGCAGAGGGTGCAGTGGGTGCAGTGGGTGCAGTGGGTGTAGTGGGTGCAGTGGGTGTAGTGGGTGCAGTGGGTGCAGTGGGTGCAGTGGGTGTAGTGGGTGCAGTGGGTGTAGTGGGTGCAGTGGGTGTAGTGGGTGCAGTGGGTGTAGTGGGTGCAGTGGGTGCAGTGGGTGTAGTGGGTGCAGTGGGTGCAGTGGGTGCAGTGGGTGCAGTGGGTGCAGTGGGCGCAGTGGGTGTAGTGGGTGTAGTGGGTGCAGTGGGTGCAGTGGGTGCAGTGGGTGCAGTGGGTGCAGTGGGTGTAGTGGGTGTAGTGGGTGCAGTGGGTGCAGTGGGTGCAGTGGGTGCAGTGGGTGCAGAGGGTGCAGTGGGTGCAGTGGGTGCAGTGGGTGTAGTGGGTGCAGTGGGTGTAGTGGGTGCAGTGGGTGCAGTGGGTGCAGTGGGTGTAGTGGGTGCAGTGGGTGTAGTGGGTGCAGTGGGTGTAGTGGGTGCAGTGGGTGTAGTGGGTGCAGTGGGTGCAGTGGGTGTAGTGGGTGCAGTGGGTGCAGTGGGTGCAGTGGGTGCAGTGGGTGTAGTGGGTGCAGTGGGTGCAGTGGGTGTAGTGGGTGCAGTGGGTGCAGTGGGTGCAGTGGGTGCAGTGGGTGCAGTGGGTGCAGTGGGTGCAGTGGGTGCAGTGGGTGTAGTGGGTGTAGTGGGTGTAGTGGGTGCAGTGGGTGCAGTGGGTGCAGTGGGTGCAGTGGGTGCAGTGGGTGTAGTGGGTGTAGTGGGTGCAGTGGGTGCAGTGGGTGCAGTGGGTGCAGTGGGTGCAGTGGGTGCAGTGGGTGCAGTGGGTGCAGTGGGTGCAGTGGGTGCAGTGGGTGCAGTGGGTGCAGTGGGTGCAGAGGGTGCAGTGGGTGCAGTGGGTGCAGTGGGTGTAGTGGGTGCAGTGGGTGTAGTGGGTGCAGTGGGTGCAGTGGGTGCAGTGGGTGTAGTGGGTGCAGTGGGTGCAGTGGGTGTAGTGGGTGTAGTGGGTGCAGTGGGTGTAGTGGGTGCAGTGGGTGCAGTGGGTGTAGTGGGTGCAGTGGGTGCAGTGGGTGCAGTGGGTGCAGTGGGTGTAGTGGGTGCAGTGGGTGCAGTGGGTGTAGTGGGTGTAGTGGGTGCAGTGGGTGTAGTGGGTGCAGTGGGTGCAGTGGGTGCAGTGGGTGTAGTGGGTGCAGTGGGTGCAGTGGGTGTAGTGGGTGTAGTGGGTGCAGTGGGTGTAGTGGGTGCAGTGGGTGCAGTGGGTGTAGTGGGTGCAGTGGGTGCAGTGGGTGCAGTGGGTGCAGTGGGTGCAGTGGGTGCAGTGGGTGTAGTGGGTGTAGTGGGTGTAGTGGGTGCAGTGGGTGCAGTGGGCGCAGTGGGCGCAGTGGGCGCAGTGGGCGCAGTGGGCGCAGTGGGCGCAGTGGGCGCAGTGGGCGCAGTGGGCGCAGTGGGCGCAGTGGGCGCAGTGGGCGCACAAAGAGGAAAATGCGCATGGGAAGGAATGAGAGGCTTGTTCCTCCTCACTATCCTTTCTCCTCCTCGGACTGTCCGTCCTTACCTTTCCCCCATCGTGCAGCTCCCTGCATCGCCCCGCACCTCGCCTCCACCTCTTTCTCTCCCCTGCTCTCATTGCTCTCTCGCGCTCTCCTCCTGCTCTGCTCTCCCCCCTTTCTGTCCCCCTCACCTCGTCCCCGTACCCGTGCGCCTTGAGTGCGCGCACCACCAGTTGCTCTGAAGTTTCGTTCACCACGTTGTTCACCACCCACACGCGCCGGCACCCCGCCAGCCGCCTCGGCTCGTGCTGTAACGCGTACAGCGTGTTCTCGTACAGCTGCCCGTCGCACTGCAACGGCGGGATATCGTTGCCGATCATGCGGTAGAGGATGAATCGCGGCGGGGATTGCGGAATGCTGCCCGGTACAGCCACGTCACCGTCCCCGTCACCGTCACTGTCATCGTTCTGAGGCGCCACGTGGCCAGGTTCTGCGAAGCCGGCGTCCCAGTCGTCGCCAAACCACGTGGCGAGCCACACCAGCAGGAATGCGCCCACGCCGTTCACCGCAAGGCGTCGCACGAACTCCCCCCGCTTGGCCCGCCGCGAAGACCGCGAGGCGCATGCCGTAACGGTCGAGCAGAGCGCGGAGGAGTGGGCGGCCGGAGTGGTTGCCGGGGGCATGGCGGGAATGGCGGATTGAGGCCGTCCGTTGAGTCGAGAGGGAAGGCGAGGCGACGGGATCGAGATCATACTCAAACGGTGTCACCCCCTGGTAGTACTGTCGCTTCGCTTTAGAGCTACCTGAATTTGATTTAAAGCAACACACGCAGAGTGCAATTGAGCGGAAATTTTGTAGAAGCTAAAACCAACAAGAATCCGTATGAAGACTTAAAAAGATTGTTGTGTACAAAAATAGAAAATCTTGTTTTATCAATTTTATTTCATAATTAATCTATATTCCCCTCCAGTATTCTTTCTGTGGTAATTTTGCAAGCGCGGTTGTTGATGAGATTTGCGCCATCTCATTCCGCCTTCAGTAGCCGTGTAATGTTCCGTTTCTCCTAACATTTCACGAATTTGGTCATAACGCAGATGATGGGAAAATGGCACCCTTCGATGATTGCGTGTGGAGGACCCTGTGACATGCTCTTGTGACAAAAAGAGGCGATACTAAAAGAGCAAAATCCTTGCCCTGAAATTACCTCCTTTCAATGCACACCACCTGCTTCCATGGCGCCTCCGCCACTCATTCATGCTTCCTGCCGGACTCCCGCTAAATTCCTTCCTTGCCTTCCCCTTCGCGTCCCTGCAGCTTCCCCGCGCGGACGGCGCATCACAACAGCTGGGGGATCCCTCCGCTTGCCCGTTGCCGCTGCCGCCGTCACCGCTCACCGCCGCTGCAACGCCTTCCCCTCGCCAACAGCAGTCGCGCTGTCCGCCGCGCGACCTCTCGCTTCTCCGGCGACCCCGCGGGCCGTTCGCGCCCGCGCCGCATCCGCGCGCCTCTCGTCGCCCTTCACCCGCGCCCCGTCCTCTCTCCGCTTCACCAAGCGCGCGTGCCAGCAGCTCTCCAACCCCCACCTCTTCCCCGTTCCTTCACCTTCGTTACTCAATTCCTCCCGCCGAACCTCCCGCGTCAGCAGGTCTGGCCGCGTCTTGCGGCCCGGCCGCGCACGCGCTCTCCTCGCCCCCTTGCTCGCCGCCATCGGCGTTTCCTTCGCTGCCGTCCTCGCCGCGCTTCCGGCTGCCCTGACGGCCGTCTTCGCCGCGCTGCCGGCTGCCCTGACGGCCGTTTCCGCCGCTACAACCGCCGTCGCATCGAACGCGACAGTCTCGTCGGTAGCACTCCCGCTGCTACAGCTTCTGGCGGGCGTGGGGGGCGCAGTAGGAGTGGTCACTCTGGGACTCATCTGGACCGTACTGGACCGTTTGTTCTGCCTTATCCTTCTCCTCAACTTCGCCGCGGGTCTTTTAAGCATCGCGCGGGACTCGTACCGGCTGAGCCACGCGCGCCGCCGCAGCCTGCAGGACCCAACGCTCGTGACGATATGGGCCGCGGAGCGCGACGAGCGCGACGCGGACGACGGGATCAGTGAGGGCATGGCAGCGAGTGCGAGGAGGATTTTTCTAGACACAGGCGACCCGCGGTTTGACTGGTTCGTGCCGGGGGTGGTGAGCCTGATCCCCGGAGTGAACGGCGCGGCATGGGTGCTGGCATCATGGCACTCGTCGCCCTTCCTCTCTCGCGGCCTCAAGAGACACCTCGCCTTAAACGCTGCTGTCTACGGGCTGCCTGGCCTTGCCTCCCTCCTGATCTTCGCCCTCGGCGTCCCCTCCCCCACCTCCCTGCTCCTCTCCCCGTTCTCCTCCCTCGCCTCGGCCATCCTCTCGCCGTTCAGCCAATCAGCGGCTGCCACTGCAGCAGGATCAGCAGCAGCGGCGGCAGCAGGGGGGGTGACGGTGGTGGGGTACGGGAGCAGCAGTGCGTGGTGGGTGAGTGTGGTGCTGGGGGCGGTGCAGCTGCAGCTGGAGCGAGTGCGGGCTGTGAGCATGCAGGAGAGCCGGCAGGTGCTCAGAGCGTTTGGGCGTGGGCTCAAGAGAACGAGGGAGAGGCGACTAGGACAGAGGAAATGGATGGACTGGGGAGTGGAGGAGGAGGAGGAGACGGAGGAGGAGGAGGGGGTTGATAGGGAACGGGAGGGGCGGTATGGCGAGAATGGGAGGTTGGAGGGAGTAAGTGCGGCCATGGGAGGGGCTTCTGGAGGTGGGCGAGCAGGGGGTGCTGGCAAGGATGGGAATGCTCCAAGGGGTAGCAGCGGCAATATCATCAGCAGCAGCAGCAGCAGGGGAGGTGGGGACATGTGGATGGAGGCAGAGGAGCGCAGGCGCCTGCAGGAGTTTGATGCGAAGCTCATGGGGAGGCCTCTGCAGCAAATGGGTATGCCGTTGCCTAGCAGCCATGCACAGAGTGGTGATAGCGGTGACAGTGGTGACAGTGGTTAGGCATGCTCCCAGTGTGGAATGTGTGCTGCCTGCCGTGGGGCAACTAGTGAGGCGCCTCAAAAGGCTGTCACGGGGCACACCGGGCATGTAAGCAGGGTGCTCCATGTGCCATTCCTCACCATCGTTTCTCTGCAAGTGTACGAGTGACCTCTCACCTCTTTTGTTCCTTCTCCTCCTGCTGCCTCTTTGCTGCATCACCAGGGCCTCCAGCAGCATGGACAACGGATGACGTGGCAACATGGCTCACAGCAGAGGGCTTTGCCTGCTATGCACAGGCCTTCCTTCGCCATGCTGTCTGTGGCCAGGTGCCTTACCTTCCTTGTCGGTCTGTGCTGCCCTGCGCTTTGCTCCGCCTTGGTCCCTTTCCTAGAAGCAACCTTCTGGATGCATTGCGCCATCTTTGCTCCTGTATCTCCCTTCCCCATCCGCCACATTTTCAATAACGCCATCCGTCCTTTCGGTCGTCTCTCCTCCGCGTGTGTGGTGCATGTGTGCATGTGTACATGTATGCACGCGTGCATGTGTGCATGTGTACATGTGTGCATGTGTACATGTGTGCATGTGTACATGTGTGCATGTGTACATGTGTGCATGTGTACATGTGTGCATGGCGGCATGTGGTGCTGGCAGGTGCTGTTGGAGCTGACAGCAGAGGACCTGAGGGATGACTTGGGGGTGCGCACGCTAGGCGACAGGAAGAGGCTGCTCGCAGCCATTGCACAGCTCAGACTGTGGTTTGGCACAGGGCAATCGTGAGCGCATGCAGGCGTGCCTGCACAAGCTCACTCGGAGGTACCGGCAGGTAGCAGTTATTCTATACTTACCGGTACCTAGGTGATCCGGTTGGTTAGTAGGATATTAGGGATTACGGTAGCGTCGTTGCTGTAGTTCCCCGAAGCATTAATTGTGCATTTTCGACTAGCTGTAGTGTCAAATGTTGTAGCCTTAGTGAGGTTTGTCTTAGGGGGTACAGATGTTAGGGTTTGTTATATGTACCCCAACCCACATCAATGAACCAACACTTTCATTCTTAACATGGTATCACCTAGGTTAGGATCCTGTGGGATCCCGTTCCTCTCGTTCACGTCCGTAGCGCCCGAGCCTGTCCCGTACCCTAGTGCCCGTTACGCTCGTACTGTGCCCTAGCGCCTATCGCGCCTGCCGTTACGTCGCTCTCGTGCCCTCGCGCCCGCTGCGCCTGCCGTTACGTCCCTCTCGTGCCCTAGCGCCCGCTGCGCCTGCCGTTACGTCCCTCTCGTGCCCTAGCGCCCGCTGCGCCTGCCGTTACGTCCCTCTCGTGCCCTAGCGCCCGCTGCGCCTGCAGTACGTCCCTCTCGTGCCCTAGCGCCCGCTGCGCCGTCCGTCCGCGCCACGCTGCCCGTCCGCGTCGCGCCTTCAGTCTCGTCCCGTCCGTCCGCGTCGCGCTGCCTGTCCGCGTCGCACCTTCAGTCCCGTCCCGTCCGTCCGCGTCGCGCCGTCCGTCCCGTCCCGTCCCGTCCCGTCCCGTCCGTCCGTCCCGTCCGTCCGCGTCGCGCCGTCCGTCCCGTCCCGTCCCGTCCCGTCCCGTCCGTCCGTCCCGTCCGTCCGTCCCGTCCCGTCCCGTCCCGTCCGTCCGTCCGTCCCGTCCGTCCGTCCGTCCGTCCCGTCCCGTCCGTCCGTCCCGTCCGTCCGTCCCGTCCCGTCCTGTCCCGTCCGTCCGTCCCGTCCGTCCGTCCCGTTCCGTCCCGTCCCGTCCCGTCCGTCCGTCCCGTCCGTCCGTCCCGTCCCGTTCCGTCCGTCCCGTCCAGTCGCGTCGCGCTGCCCGTCCGCGTCGCGCAGTCCGTCCCGTCCCGTCGCGTCGCGTCGTGTCGCGCTGCCCGTCCTGTCCCGCTGCGTCGCGTCGCGCTACCCCTGCCCGTGGCGCTGCGCCCTCCTAGTCCAGCAGTGTTGCGCCCTACCCTATGTCCCGTAGCGCCCTACTGAGTCATTCTCACTGATTAGGGTTTCAGCAGCAGAACTTCCTACCACTTTGCTTTTGCTATGGCGACCCCTAGGGTTCTTCGTTTTGACGCTGACGGTAGACCGCTCGAGTTTCGGGTCTGACTCCTACGCGCGCGTCGCCTTCTAGAGAGTCAGGTCCAGGCGGGCGAGTCCCTCTGGGCGCACGCTACTGGCGACCTTCCTGCGCCCGACGACCCTACGCCTTTAGGCCCTGCCCCTGACGACGCCGCCAGAGACCGCTTTACCCCGCTTTACCCGCCAGCGTGCTGACCTGACGGCGTGGAAGTCGCGTGACGCTGCGGCCTGCATCGCTCTTAGCAGCCTCCTCCCTGAGTCTGAGGAGACCCACTTCACTCAGGTTCGCACTGCTAGTGAGTTCCTGACTGCGATCAAGGCCCGCTACGCTACTCCCACCACTGTCTCCCTTGGCCGCCTCTTCCTACCGTTCTTGTTCCCTGACCTCGCCTCGTTTGAGCGCTCGGCTGACTTGATTGCTCACCTCCGCTCGCTCGATTCTAGCTACCGCGCAGCTTGCACTGACGCACAGCTTGCACTGCTTCCCCCTCCTATGGCGATTACTATCTACTTCATTGCCACTAGCCTCCCTGACCGCCTTGCCTCGGTTCGTGACACGCTTCTTCTGAAGCACCCTAGTGAGCTCACTATCGAGGTCCTTGAGTCTGCGCTCAAGGACGTTGAGAGCAACCTCCGCTCTGTAGCCTCCGCCTCTGGTGCTGTGCCCCCTCCACTGTTCCACGGGTGCACTGTCCCTCAGCTGCCCACCTTTACAGCCTCTCTCGCCACTGCTGCTACTGACGTGACCGCAGCTGCTGTTACGACTTCTTCGCGGTCTCGAGGTAGAGGTGGCAAGAGGGGCGGTCAGGGTACAGGTGGCGGCGGCGGTGGAGGCGTTGGCGGCGGAGGTGGTGGGGGTGGCGTGCCGACTGGTGGTGGCGGGAGTGCAGGACCAGGAGAGGCGTCGCGTGCAGCGGCCGGTGACTCCGCTACTGCAGCCGGTGGAGGCGAAGCCCGGGCTCGTCAGCCACCTTCTGGTCTGCCGGCCGCGGCGGGTGGAAGCAGCGGCGTGGTACCTGGCCCAGCGGCAGCAGCAGCTTCAGCAGCAGCCCCTCCCCTTGCAGCAGCCCCCGCAGCAGCAGCGGCAGCAGCAGGTTACGGGGCCAGGACAGCGTCAGCCTCAGCGAGGTGTTGTTCACCCTTCGTGCACCTATTAGGTTCTGACAGGTGCTCGCCGAGGCCAGCCTTGTGGCCGCACCCACCCTCCTGGTCAGTGCTTTGCTCAGCTCACTGACACGGTTCGCTTGGACTTCGGCGTTGGCGGCCCTGCCCCTGACTGGTTACCTCTTGTTCAGACGTATGGCTCCGCTCTTTGGGGCATGTCTGCTTCTCAGTTGCTTGATCTCTTAGGAACTCCTCATGATATGTATGCTGTTGTTGACTCTAGTGCTTCTGACTCTGTTTACTCGAGTGTTGTTAGCTTAGGTGCTAGTCTTGCTGAGTTGCCTGTTGCTAGTGTAGGCACTTGTGTAGACACTAGTCCAGGCGCTACTTCGGAGGACGCTTCGCTGTCTTTCACTCTGGACTCTGGGGCTTCGCACTGCTTCTTCCGCGACCACACGACACTTACTCCACTTCCTGCGCCAGTCTCTGTGGCCCTGGCTGATCCCACCTCGGGACCAGTCACTGCTCGCTACACTACTACTCTTCCTTGCCCTGCTGTTCCCTCTGGGTCTCTGACTGGCTTCCACGTCCCCTCGTTCTCAAGGAACTTGGTGGGCGTGAGGCCTCTTGTGAGTCAGCATGTGGGTGTGTGGATTGAGCCCTCTGGTGAGACGGCGGTTTGTGTTGACGGTGACACTTACTCGCCTCTTGCCACCTTTACTTCCGAGCCGGGCTCTGGTCTCTACACACTTCACACTGGCCCTGGTGAGCAGCAGCAGCAGCAGCAGCAGCAGCAGCAGCGGCAGCACCAGCAGCAACAACAGCAGCAGCAGCAGCAGCAGCGGCAGCAGCGACTCCTGCCCCCGGCCCTGGTTACTTCCCCCAGTCTGGTCCCTGCGTCTCACCAGGTTGCTGCGTCCCCCCAGGTAGCTGTGTCTGGTCAGGTTCCCGTGTCCCCGCCAGTTGCTGCGTCGTGCTCCTGCCGGTCGCTTGCACACCCCACCGTTCTGTGGCACCACCGGACGGGGCACCGTCCCTCCCTCGTCTGCGCGCTATGTCTTGTCAGCGTCTTGTCTTAGGCCTCCCGTGTGTCTTGCCGTCGCTGCCGCCTTCGCTTGCACTGCCGTGCGGTCCCTGCGTCGAGGGTCGGCTGCGCGCCACCCCTCACTCCTCCTCCCTTCGTCCGGCCACCAAGCCTTTTGAGACGCTCCACTTGGACGTCTGGGGCCCCGCCCCTCGCCTTGGCCCTGAGCGCGAGCGTTTCTTTCTGGTGGTCGTTGACGACTACTCCCGCTACACCACAGTGTTCCCCCTGGCGAAGAAGTCTGAGGTGACTTCTACGCTGATCAGGTGGTTGCTTACCACTGAGGGCACTCGTGGTCGTCGTGTCAGCTGTCTTCACTCTGACCGTGGGGGTGAGTTTCGCTCCGGCATTCTCGCTGGATTCTGTCGCGAGCAGGGCATTCGTCAGTCCTAGACGCTTCCAGAGTCCCCACAGCAGAATGGGGTTGCTGAGCGCCGCATAGGCTTGGTCATGGAGATCGCCCGCACCTCCTTGACTCACGCCCGTGCCCCCCATTTTCTGTGGCCCTACGCGGTTAGGTACGCCGCTCACCAGCTGAACCTCTGGCCACGTGTCTCTCGGCCAGAGGCTTCACCGACCAGTCTTTGGACCGGGTCCCCTGATGTTGCGTCGAGGTTTCGTGTCTGGGGTTGCTTGGCTCTTGTCCGCGACACTTCCGCGGACAAGCTCTCGCCTCACGCCGTTCCCTGTGTCTTCCTCGGTTTCCCTGAGGACTCCTCAGACTTCACCTTTTACCACCCTCCCTCTCACCGGTTCTTTGACTCTCGTGACGTCCGTTTCGAGGAGTCCACCCCCTACTACGTCAGGTACCCCAGTCGAGGTCTCCCGGTTCCTCCTCCCCCTCTCTTCCTGACTTCCGCTCCCCCTCCTGCTCCCCCGGTACAGCCTCCCCCCCCTGGTCCCGCCCCGTCAGGTGTGTCCCAGGCTACCCCTCCCCCCTCGGTCGCCCCTCAGGTGCAGCCTCCTTCCCCGCAGTCCTCCTCGCAGCCTGCTGCAGTCCCTGTGGGAGCCGGTGCTCGTGGAGAGGGCCCTACTGGTGCTAGCTCTGGGGGTGCTGGAGTTGGAGCTGAGCCCGTGGTTGTAGGATACTCTTGTCTTCCGGGAGCTGGTGTTGGTCCTGCTGACTTTGGGGGTGCTACGTCTGGGGGTACGGGTGCACCCTCTTCGGGTCCTGGTGAGCCTGGTCGTGTTGCTGTTGGTGGTGCTGACTCTGGGGGTGGTGCGCCAGGTGCTTTGGAGGGCGGTCCCGGGGCTGCCGCAGCCCCCCATACTACTCCTCCCCCCCACCCCTACCCGACCCGGCACCAGGCTCGTGTTCGCCGTGCCCGTGAGGAGCAGCTGGAGTTGGAGAGAGAGGAGAGAGAGTTGCAGCGGCTGGAGGAGCAGCAGCAGCAGCAGGAGCAGCTGCAGCAGCCGCGGCTGGAGCCGCCGCAGCAGCAGGAGGCGCAGCAGCAGCCGCCGCGGCAGCAGCAGCAGCAGCCGCCGTCGCCGCCGCAGCAGCAGCAGCAGCAGC